ATGGCACTCTTGAGACCATCAGCAGCGGCCCAGACCCTTTTTTCTTCAAGCCTTGGATACTTTTCTCCAATTGCCTTAACATAAGCATCCACTTCTTCCTCTGTTGGGACACTAACCATGGCCTCTGGATGTTTGTGAAGAGCAACCAGCATCACTCTCCTTKAAAACTTGAGCCACTTATACATCACTGTGGATGTTAAGCCAAAGGCCATTGCCATCGACCTTGCAACGGATCCGCGTGTCCTGTACCAATACAGCACTAATCCAATGGCACAGACTGCATYGACCTCCCTTTTCTTCCCCTTGGGCTTACCACTGGGGTAACAAGGAACTTCCACAATTTCATTGGTGTCCCTGTGGACAGTAAACTTGTTCCATACTGGAGCAAAGAGGTCAACAAGCTCCCTGAAGACCTTGTGGTCGACACCACAGCAGTTTAGGAGAGCTTGGTCATYCCCTGAGTGGAACATGTACAGGAAAGGGGACTGAGCATATCTCCTGATTGCAATCCTTGGCGTTCTCCTGTCCCTCTTACGACGCTCCTCAGGAGAGAGCTTCTTCTTGTAACTTTGGTTATTCAGATGAATGTACCAGTACATCGTAACGACCTCCACTACTCCCATCTTGCTAGGAGGAAACTGTTGTCTTTTAGTGTGTTTGTTGTCTACTCAAGGGCTACTAATTAGTGTAAAACATGAATTCATTTCCTGGTATCAAATCAGAAATAATAAGCAGAAACTGAGTTCATGTTTTACTCTAGTGAGAGTACTGCTATCGATGGTGCAAATTTTCATGTTTTTCTTAGTACCAAAGTGGCGCGCGCCTATTTTTAGATTACAGATAAGATTCCGGATTCCCAATAAGAGTGGATTGAAGGCRGGCTGCCTCGCAGCCTGTCCGTTGATATTCTGATTCCCGTTATTCTAAAACTCTAACTTTAGAGCGTTAGAGTTTTAGAATAACGGGAATCACCCATTGGTTCTAACACTACGGTTACGTAACGGCCGGTTGGAAAAGATGATTCCTCCGTTTTTGAAAAACGCGAATTTTGGATGACGTGCCAAGTCCAATACATAATGGTACATACGTACGTACTGTATGTATGTTGTGTAGATTGCGTAGATTCCTTTGCAACTACCGGTAGGGGTTGGCAACGCAACGGTACGAACGTACGATAGGAATAGGAATGGGTCTTCCGCTTCTTCCTCCCAGTATTTTTGTCTTTCGTTTGATTCATTTCCAGTTGTGGAAATAAATTATCGCACTTCAACTCCAACAAATTATGGATCGTACGAGTAATCGGTCGTGTAAGCACGAACGTATTCGTGCAGGTCCCACTGTGGGAGAAACTGAGGTGCCAGCTGTTCGAGAACTCCCGAATCCTCGACACTTCTGGCAGCCTCGACACCGCTCGTATAGGCAGCAACCGCAGTACCTTGCCACCCATTGGAAACAGTTGCCTCTCCAGCAAAGAATACGTTTCCCATCGGCTCGGAAAGCGTCTTGCGATACCTACTACTTTCAATACCTCCTGCATCATAGGAGTAAGCGCCACCACTAAATTCGTCGGACCTCCATCGAGTGATAATACGCTCGGACGGTGGGGGAACGTTATTTCCAAGCATCATTCTAAGGTTCCGAAGAACAAGATCGATTGTTTCTTGGTCTGATAGAAGTTCAAGTCGGTCGCATGCATCGCCTCCGCACCAAGATGTCAACACATGGTAATTTTTGTTCCCATAATGTGACTCGTCTATATAGAAGTAGGTCCATTCGTCTGATGTAGAGTCGTCATCAGTGATTAGTTGCATTTCGGTTTTACCTTGTGGCCACCAAGAAACATCTTGAGTGAACGTACTCCAATACATAATCACCTTATTCATGTTGCCCATTCCAATCAAATCAATAGCTTCTAGCTTCTCGTCGCTGAGTGGAGGAACAAACTCAATACTAGAAGATTTTAGAACACCTAATGGCACTGTGACTATAGCAGAACGTGCATAAAAGACTTCGGAACAAAAAAGTGTAAACAATGTCAGTGCTCATTCGTCAACAACAGGTCATGTCGATAAAAAGAAATCCTTCTTTGTTCATAGGTATTGCACAGAAAAGAATGATGCTTAGCGTACCTCGATCATTTGAAGTGTATGCCTTTATGATATCTCCTTGCTGATCGACTGTAACAACCGGTTCATTCATCTTGATCTTTTCAGCGAAATTTTGGGCGAGGCCTCTAGTTAACGCTCCTGTGTAACCCCCGCCAGTTCCTCCTGGAACTGCCATAAATTCGATGCCGCTAAAATCGTAAACGAGATAGTCCTTGGTCGTTTCGGAATTTGTGTCGTTGAGAGGACTCCCAAACTCAATTGTAATCGCTGTTTTCAATTGCAAACATGAAGTGAGAATACCGACGACGACAGCATTCAAGAGACGCGAATGAACGATTTCTCACGTACCCGAATGCACCAATGCATTTATGGATTGCCTTTTCAAGTTGGTCATGAACGGATTCTCAGCAAAGTAGCTCTCTTTGATATCCATCCAATCCACTTCAGAGCCAGAATTTCTATTCGCATGTTCGTAAAAATCCTCCTTGAAATCTTGGCAAATTAGGATGGATTTTTCGTCTTCCGAAAGTTCGCCGGTAGAGTTGTACAATCCTAAAGTATCAAAGACGTAATCCGTCGAATCATGTGATATTCCAACCTTTTCGACAAGGTCGAAGACATTAGTGCCGGGATAGACCCATGCGGAGCCCAGTTCAACTGGATGTCCTGGTTCGAAGGCATCTTCTATTGTGTAGCTGCGACCTCCAATACGGTCTCTTGCCTCTAGGATCAATATATTTTCGGTGATTCCTGTTTCTATGAGGTGATTCGCTGCAGCAAGACCAGACCAGCCAGCACCGATAATGATGACATCGTAGATGTCATTTGCAGCTACCCGATCACAGAGCCAGAAGGATGCGAGAAAAGCGAGAATGACTTTTCCGGAAACAATAGACATTATCGATCAAGAGCCATAAATTTTGTAAAAAATCAATGAGTTCAGGCATTCAGAGCTCTTTTCAGCGGTTCGTTCAATAGTGCATCAATCGGAGGAGATCGAGACATTCTTCGAAACAAGGTGAGTCTAAGCAAACCTTGCTCACAAAATTACCTTCCGGAAAAGCAAAATCGATGGCGGAAGAAAGTTGAAAGAGTGAGATACGCTTCTAATCCTGACGTGTTGGTACAGTTGGATCTCGTTTAACTTGAAAACATTTTTCATTCGACCGACACGTTGTATCGGCATTTTGGTGGCAAGAATCGAAAGACTCCGGTGATTCCTGGTAAGTTTTGAGAAGATTCTCTGAATCTACCACGTATTTGGGAATATATTTAAGAAACATTTGTTAAAACATTAAAAGAAGTTTAGGAAGAAGACATTATTAGCGACAATCGAGTATCGCTGCTTCCTGAAAAAGGTTAGATAATGTTTTATAGCCGTCGTGATTAGTATTGCTCTGAATATTGCCCCTCTTAAGGAATGGTGAAGCCTATTATGATACTACCGATTATATTGAACTTTCTATTTTCATTCACATGCGTGTGTCACGTAACTGAAAACGTTGCTTCCTGGACCATCAAATTGTTCGACTTTATCCAATAAAATCTGTTTCGGATCAGCATTTATCGAATCGAAAAATTTGTACACAATTATCAAACCTAAAAAAAATTACGATCATGTGCTTTTCACCCGAGACTTCTAGTTTTAGGATACAATACTACAAGTAATATTCAAAGAAACGCTAAGAACCTGACAGTGATACGTGACAGTGACACGTGACAGTACCTGGAAGGTACCGTATGATATTTTGTGGTCTTGCATTCATCATCGAAAGACTGCTTTTTTTATTTTTTTGATGCGACTTTATGGGTCGTGCTGTTATTTTAGAAGGGGGGGGGGGGGGAATTTTTTCCTCTTTCGAGACGAACAAGAAAAACAAAAAACCTGAAAAACTCGTGTTCGATGTGCGGTCCAATTCTCAAAAATACCGTAGTCTCTCTAGTTTTTTATTCATTGAACTTTTTCCCGTCGCGTGTTGCCAAATGTTGCCACCTGGAAAATTTAGGATTTTTTTCTTTCTTCGCTACTCCAGAAGATGGTTGTTTTAGATTTTGATCCAGAGAATCGTTCGGTTGAGTCGGAATGCTGGATGGACGGACGGACGGACACAACCTTCCAGAAGTGGCCCGGCGAGCGGGTCAGGCGAAGAAGGCATCCACGATATTCGCGCCGGCCTTTCAACAAATTCTTTGGGCGAACGAATGAATGTACGGTACAGTACGTACTCGTACTAGTACTTGTACTAGTACTCATACTCAAGGAATCCCCGTTCGTCCGACACAAATTCCATCCGTCGATTTCTCCAACCCAAAAACAGAGAACGAAAACTGAAAAATGCCGCTGGTACAGAATATCGTACCGTACGCATCGTACGCAAGCAACCGTAGGGTACGATACTTACTGTATTGCTGGCGGTTGGGTGCGCGTCTGTGCGAGGCGACGCGTCAAAAAATACCTGTGAACAACTTCCTGCGGCACCTTGTGAAGCACACGGTTCGGCGGCTTCGCTGCTTTGAGTGGTTTCCACCGTGGCGTCTCGGTCGGCTTCACACACACCGAACGGTGCCGTAGTACAGTGTTGGTACCGTATGGTACTCGTAGCACGAACGGGTACGAATACGATATTCGGAGAGACTTGCAGCACTCTCAACTTTACCATCGACCCCTCTGCTCCCTCCTCTGCCTGCTCTTGTCCCTTTTGACAGATCGGATCATGAAATGATGAAAACCTTCGAACACTAATTTCATCAACAAACAATACCGAATTTAATTTCCATTGTCGTTGTTACCACTCCATCACCGCGTTTCTAGCAGCAACGGCACCCAACGAATCGCCTCTCCTCCACCGCCGCATCCCGCAAAACGCAAGGTACCGTAGGGAACCTTCCGGCATCCACAGCCCGCCCGCCTCGCCCCCCAAGATACAGATACGGCACGCAACAACCACCACCAAAGCAGCAGCAACAGCAGCAACAACAACAGCAACAACAGCATGGCTCCCACCGAAGAAACCGCCCCGGGCGAAGCCGTTTTCCCGGAGGAAAACGGCCCCGGGATCCCGGCCCAAGAATCCCTCCCTCCCCAACACGCGGCTCCCCCCGCCTCTGCCGAATCCGCGCGGGGAGAAAGCCCCGACGCCCCGGACGGGTCCCTCTCGCCGGAAGACCCGGCTGCCCCCGCAGCGGTCGGGGAGAGCCGGAAGCGAACGGCCGGAGAGGCCGGTCTCCCCAGCGGCGAAGAAAGCAGCACCAAGAAGGCGGCTCCGGAAGACCTTGCTCCCCCCGAAACGAACACCGAACGCCAAGCCGGGCCGGAAGCGAACGGCCCCGTCCCCTCCAGCCCCACCGTCTGCACGATCGCCACCGCAAGCCTCGGCCTCCCTTCCCCGGCGATCGCCAGCGCCGTCACCCCGGGTGCCACCACCGTGGCCACGCCGGGAAGCGAGCCCCGGTCCGCCTCCCGGATCAAGTCCTGCCTGGTCGACGGCTGCGAAAAGCTCCGGGCCAAGAGCGGGTACTGCCTCCGCCACTTCAAGGACAAGACGGCCCCGATCCGGTCCGGGACCCCGGAGTACGAGCGCCGGATCTGCGTCATTGCGGGCTGCGAGCGCCTGCGCTCCAAGGGGGAGCACTGCCACCGGCACCACAAGGACCCCAGCGCCCCCATCCGGAACAAGGCGGACAAGTCGACGGACCGCAAGAAAAAGTGCGGCATCGAGCACTGCAACCGCCTCCAGGTGAAGGGGGGCTTTTGCAGCCGCCACTTCCGGAACCGGAGCGCCCCGGTCCTGACCACACCCGCCTTTTCCTTCGACGCCGACGCCCGGTGGGACGAGCTCTTTCCCCAGCTAGAAGCCTTTTACAAGAAACACGGACACTCGCGGGTTCCCACCTCGCAAAAGACGGACCTCGCCCGCTTTGTCGTCCACATCCGGTGCGTCTACCGGACCAAGAAGCAGAAGATGCTCCGGGAGGCCCAGGCCGTGGTCCCGGCCACCCCCCAGGCGTCCGCCGCCAACGGGGAGGGCCACGGGGGGGCCTCCGACAAGGCCAACAAGGCCGCTTCGGAAGGCGAGGCCCACCCCGATCTCACCAAGAGCAAGCTCCTGACGCCCGAGCGGATGGAGGCCCTCAAAACGGTCAACTTTGAGTTCCAGCTCTGGACCGTCGAGCCCTCGCAGTGGGAGCAGCGGTTCCAGGAACTCCTGGCCTACCGGACCCAGAACGGACACTTCCACGTCACCAACAAGCAAAACGCTACCCTCTCCAGGTGAGTGGAGCCGAGACGAGCTTGGCCTGGCCTGGCGTAGCCGAGTCGGACTTGTTTCTCTTCACCCCGGTCCACGCATTTGCGCCCGCGTGCTTGGATTTTTTTTGTGGTTTTCACCGTCGTTTTCTCACTCTTGTCGTTGCATGTATCCACCGTGCCGCTTTTTCTCTCCTTTAGCTGGTGCAAAACCCAGCGCCAGCGATACAAGAACACGATGGCGATTTACCAAGGCCTATACGGAGTAGAACTGACCTGTCCCCAAAAGAAGGCAAAGGAGCTCTACGACAAGGCCAAGGAAAAAGCCAAAGAGGCCAAGGCCGCGGCGGCAGCCGAGGAGGGGGAGGGAGCCAAGTCCAAGGCAGCGGTGATGTCTACACCGAATCTGTCCGACATTGGAGAAGCCAAGAACATGATGGACCCGGAGCGCATCTGCAAGCTCAACGCGGTGGGGTTCGAATGGGAACTGCAGAAGGACACCTACGTCGAGAGCTGGGAAAACAGGTACAACCAGCTGCTCAAGTTCAAGGTCCTCAACGGGCACTGCCGCGTCCCCAAGTCGAGCGGGGACAACCCGCAGCTCGGCCAGTGGGTGAAGCAGATGAGAAAGTACCACGGCTGGAAAGAGGACGGGAAGTCCTACCCCAGCACCTTTACGGACGAGCGCATCTCGCGGCTCAACGAGCTGGGCTTTGAATGGCGGCTCAAGGACACCCCCATGAAGTCCTCGGCCGCCAAGGCCGAGGCCGAAACGACCACCCCCGTGATCGCGGCGCGGGTCCTCAACAACCAGCTGAACAACACGGTCGACGTCCCCCCCCTGCAGCAATACCCGCCGCAGGCCGCCGCGGCGTCCGCCGCAACCATAAGCATTACCATCGGCAATGGTACCGCGGGCGACGTCGTCAACGGCGGCGGAACCCCGGGCGAAAACGGGCAAGCCATGAACTGGGGCTGGGGAAACAACGCCTACGACGGGACCAGCAATTCGGCGACGGTATGACCGAAGCAACAAAGCCGAGGACGGGAGCAGCAATGGACCGCACGGCACGGCACGGCATTGTATCCTTGAGAGAAGAACCGTGCCGTCGGCTCCGGTCGTCGAGACACGCCCGGGACTTCCGCGACGGTCGGAACGGGTCCGCTCGGAGCCAACCACACGGGGAGGAACAAGCCATTTCGATTGCTGCCATCCGGGGGTGCGAAGGGCGCGGTTTTCAGTGCTATACCACCGCACCGAAATCTCGTGTTGGCTGGGAAACGAAGGGCACACGGCGCCACCAGTGCCCCTCCCGGGCCGCAACGACGAGCTTGTACGTGTCTGGTGAGGATGGGAGAAATCTCTACTTGTTTTTTACGAGTAGAAATGTTCATGGGCTCGACAGAATCGGGTTTGCAATATGTATCACATCGTGTCACTGTAAATATTTTCGATGCTTTGTTGGATTCAAATCTGGTTTCTGCCACAAAACAAGATTCTTCAAGCCGAGGGAAGACATCAAGGAAGTAGTTAGATCCAGGGAATAGTAGATGGTTGAGTAGGGGTTACAAGAACTTAAATAGAACGCCAACTTTTCTTTCCAACATACTACGAGTGCTTGAAAAGATGCACATTATATGAAAATTTTGATACCGGTACTTCAAAAACATCGCAGTTTCTTGTTGCTTGGACCGAAATCAAAATTGGAAGCAAGCTTTCCATCGTATATGGTGGTCTGAACTTCTTGTTTGTCATATTACGGCAGTAGTATGATGTCAGGCGTTTTACTACCACTACTAGTACTACTACTACTAGCAGTTAACACATGGCATCACTAGTATTAGTTCTGTGACGTACTACTTGTAGTCGAACCCGTAGCGAGATCTTACGACGGGATCATTACATCTACAAACATACGTACATAGGGTACATACATACATTCATGTCAATAGTACTCTTCGTACTTCAGGTTGAGAAAAAGAATGAGACTGATTGTTTTTATTTTTAGTACTGTAATGAACGAGAATATAAAATGAGGTCTGTTGTTAGAAGCGTACGAGTACGTAGTAGGTTCTACGTAATAGGCATGATGGCCTTGGCTTCTTTCATGTGAGGAAAATACAAAATACGGTACGGGTACCAGTACGAACGCAAATGTGTGGACAAAATGCGTAATAGGTTATGAGTACAATAAGACGCGCCAGTTTTTAGCTGTGAGCTCTTAACTTTGCTTGCTTGTTAGTGCTACCAAAGCACCAATCAGATTTAGA